AACTAATATCGTCTGCAACGAACATTCGCTGATTTAACTCGGTGTTACCTTTGGCTATTCAACAAACTCAAACGATCGCTCCGGGGAAACCGTGCAAATTAATAATTTTAAAGTTGTGAATAAAGACTTTATTTCTTTTGCTCATAGTAGTACTATATAGAGTACCGTATGCCAGTAAAAACACTGCGAATGTTCTCGTCCAAGAAAATTTCACATAAACCTACGAAAACAAATTAGTTTTGTTAAATCGCGTGATTTGGAATACCAYGCCACAGTCCGCAGACGCGAGATAATGCGCTCATCAAAAGTTTCTTTCAATATATTGATAGTTTTTTTGACTGTACGACAAAATGATATTTTGTTGGAACCGAAGATCATCCACATCAAATAGACCAATGAGCATACTAAACAATGACTTTTAATTTCAACAATGTCKTGCGGATTGTCATCACTCGGATGATCTATCGTTAAACTAAATTTTCTAGTGAAAATTGGTATCGGTGACCAYCTTGTTTTGATGATCGTTGGGCCCTATTTCTTAAACGAGTTACGTTTCATAAGTCCGCAAATCTTTYCGCAAAATTATCCAGAACATGGATGGAGACGGTTCCAATTCTYGCGCGCAATGGCTGATTTATTCATTTAAGTACAGCAGCAACAGCGTTTTCGGTGTGCGTGGGCATTCATGCCTGCTCGTATTATTTTATTTTCTAATATAGTATAAATCAATTAACAGATGTTAAAAARACTAACTCCGAAAGAAGTATTTTATTTGGAGTCTAGGAAAGGTTATTCGATTTATTTATCTCGAGTAATCTTTTTTTTATGCTATGACTTTGGCTTTCATCGAACATATCTGTAAAGGGTGAGGCATAACAATAAAATTATACGAAAATATGTAAGCTTACCCTCACTTGTGTTGGTGTGATTGATATGCCAGTGGAAAAGCTGTAATTAATAGTTTGAACGTGTTASGTAATACCCTTAAGAACTTAAGAGCGATTCATAAATATTTAAGCGTTGCACATTCAAATTAGAAGTAYCAGTAAAATAATTATTGCCCGTGATTACTCAGGTGGTACGTTCATAATAAATAATACAAAATAATTTATTATATGCTCCTAATTATTAGTTATGACCAATTATGGCTGCATTATTTTAATGAAAATCTTATTAAAATATTTCTTAACAAATTTAAATAAGCAATTAATTTTCTTTTGGTTATATAAGGTCCTTCAAAGTAATGATAACGTTACGTAATATTCTCATTTGATGATTTAACACCTGCAATATGCCTCAAATATTTAGTAGGAGTCAAGACAGTAAACTCAATTATTTTAACCTAGAAAGAATTTAGTTGCCTTCAGCGAGCTGCCGCCATAAAGCACTGTTTTTTTTTTTATCGAAGGCTTTTGATATAATTGGTTCACGCAATAGATCTGTATTCAGAAGTACTAAATTTGCGAAGYCCGTAAAGGAAACGTTATTAACTTATGAATGTGGATGCATAAGAACCTCCCAACCCAGGTCCTGGAGTTTCGGGYGAGTCGCTATATTTGTTGTGGCCTGATAGAACACAATTCTTACTCCACGTAACTGCTTCCCCCAGATTGTTTAATAGTTCACTATACAGATCGGAATTAGGAGTTTGGTAGTTGGGAAATGCCGCAGTWGCCTTGCTCACCGTCAACTATAACTTGGTCACCGTTTGCGGCTGCTCACCGTGACCGTTTTCGCTTGTCCTTATTATAAGTTACCCACCTTTCATCTATAATTGAAACAAATAAGAATGTACGCGTCATAAAAAAATTTAGAAATGTGTAARAAAATGTAGATATCTTAAGAAAAACCAGATGTGGAGTATTAACAATTGATGTTCCCATTTTGGATATAAGATTACAATATAATAAAAAGTGACCCATTACGAGGCTCAATAATTTTTTTTTTAAAGAAGAAAAACACAAAAACTTAAAACTTTATTTGGAATATTTATTATCGTTCGAAAAAAAATTCTTTGGCATTTATTTTTCGAAGAATATTTCTTTTAAATATTGGCCGCAGCTACGTCCCAGATGGTCCATCCGTTGAGTCCAATTTTCCATGATTTCTTCGAGCATTTTGACTCGTTGCTAGAGTAGAATGCGAGCGATATTTTGCTCCAAGGCCTGAATCAAGGCGGGATTGTCAAAATAGACTTTCGATTTTACGTATCGTCACAGAAAAACTCTAAAGGTGTGATATCACACGATTTTGGTGGTCAATCAACCGACCCAAAACGTGAAGTTCTCTGCTCACCGAAGTCTTCTCTCAATAAAACCATTGATTGTGATGCGCTATGTGGAAAGTGGCATGTTGAACGCAAATGGCTTTGAGATCACGAACATCAATCTCAAGAGCAAGATAGTCGGTTATCACGGCGCGATAACGATCTCCATTGAGGGTTACGTTCTCACCACAAAGCACACCGATACATTATTTTTTCCAGATAAAATGGCAGCTATTGAATCTCTTCATGTTCTTTATCCCAAACGTCGAAAACGTCAGATCCTCTTGTAACTTTTGAAGCGAYGTCATTTAAAGARATCGAGCGGCTTCAGTTCTTCGCACAAGCTATATTTTGTACGCTTTCAATTTAAGATCTCRTCGTAAAATGCGCCAGGTTGAATCGAATAGTACGTTCAGTAGGACGTCTATGRTGACCATTAGTTATGCGAAGTGTGCGAARCACATTCTTTACAGAACGTGAATTTTCGTGACTTATCAAAAACGACGCCACGCTAACACTCTTTAAATCTAACTTAGACGGTATATCGAAGAAAAGTGCCACCATATGTATTATATAATATAAGCACTGTTTGGTCTCACTATACAATTGCACTTTAAGTATAGAWAATCGATACTACTCTTCTTCCATTTTCATAAATACGTGAACACGCCCACCCCACCCGAGGTCAAAGTTAATTTGATAGTAGATATTTACAAGAATGTACATACTTCATGATAGTAAATTTTACATGCGATAGCTTGATGAACTTTCCTGTGAAGTCGATCAGCCTCAACCCATTTGGGCATGTTTCAAAATGCGGGCTGAAYTTACCGACCGTTGTGCCACGATTTTGACATCGTGGCGGAGGCAGTTCTCATAAGTGGTCATATCGTCCTTCTCTTCCGTCGGGGTGTGAGCGCAAATCAGYGATATGTTGAAGAACTTCGCTTTGATGCGGATTGTGGCATTCACCGGGGTGTAAGCCAGTAATCGGCGACGGAGTCTCATGCATGCCCTTAAGTTGTAGTCCTTAATACGTTTACACTAGTCGTCAGAAAAATGTGATGCTCTCGTCCGAGGCAGTTTTCTTCTTTTGGGTGGTGTGTTTTACGTAGCAGATCCCAAACCCAGCGCACAAACTTGAGGAGGTATGTTTATTCTAATCACTTTAGCTCGCCTGCAAACAGTTGGTCTAAGACAGGAAGTCGTGAGCTGCTTGAGSCATATGCAAAATAATCTTTTTTGGTCACTCCCAAGTGAATGGCGCTCAGATAATTTTCCTCACTTGTGTGAATTTCTAAAAATGGCTCCATCTTTATTGGACCCCTTTCAAATTAAACTTCCTTGAGAGTGGGTTCGAAAGCTCTTTTTCAATAATCTACCAAATTTAAATCGCATACTATAGATAAAAAATACTAAAATATGTAAAAAATAGAAGTACTACGTTATATAAATCGGCCTTTGTAACCCATATAGATAGACTAATTTGCTTATAATGTGGTTCAAGTATTTAAGTTATTTRAGTTTTTCTTATCGCCTGAAAAAATTAGATCATTTTCTGTTCGGGTGCAGAAATACTCATAGTACTTCCTTTACAGCAAATAAATATCTATTGGAATATGTAACTAGAGTGTTATGTGAACCACCTGYCCGATTATCTCTGATTATGCGCTCGAGCAGCGAACAAAAGACTTCAACAGTTGTTTACACYATGCCAACCAGTATTGTTATTGTTTGAAAATATGCAATCTACAAGTATGACAAACCTATGAGCACCACGATACTAACTCTAAAGCAACTATGTGTTCGACGGCACAGCCACCACCCAAAAGTATTTATGCGTTGCAAAATTGCATTTGCACGGACGGACTGTGGGGCGGTGCAGTGCGAACGGTGGTTTATTTACATAAAATCTACAAACTCACCAACACCAAAGCAATTAACACAGTGACTCTTAGAAGAAAAAAATAATATAATAAAATATAGTAAATAATGGAAGTGACTACATTCCCAGCAAGAGAACGGGAAGTGCGGTGGCAAAGCTTCGACCAGTCGCGCCAGCAACCAATTTCAGCAGCGTCTTGTCCGCCGATCGACGATTACATATTTACACCACATAGTCGGSGGCAACATTTGGTTAAAAGAACACTGCTGACAGCACTATCGTTCGCTTTAGTCGCGTTACTTACTACTCATATGTGCTGTGTTGGAAAAAATAGCAAATTCCCTGCCATATTGCCAGGTCGGTCCGTTCACCCGCCGTCTGCCGACCCGTCAGGCCATATCTATTGGGCCACCATTCTCTTCGGTCGCTTTTGCCCTGCGTGTTTGTTGTAGTTATTTTCATTKTTGTTGCCGTAGTTATGTTTGAATTCAGTCTTCTGGCGGTTGGCTTGTTTTTGTGAAATGGTTATGTGTGCCGCTTGCGGTTCGATGGCGGTATAAAAGCGTTCGACTCGTTGATTTTCTTTTGAGTACGACGCTGTTACGCTGGGGATTGGTGCAAGTGCAAATTCGATTTTTCATTTAAATACGAAAATCAGTTAGTGTATTTGTAGTGCGCCATCATTAAGCAATTACAAAAACAATAACAACAAAATCAAATAAATRTTTTTTAAAGATTTGCAAAAATTTGCGTGAAGCCAAAAATAAGTTAGAGCAAAACAAAAAAGTGATTGGCAAATATAACTGTACTAAACGAAAGTACTCCAARAGACTGAAAATATTTAACAAATTTCTAGCAAGTAAAGGTGTCTATGGTTTAAGCCACATTGGCGATTAATTGGATTACAAATCAAGGGAGCCAAAATGAATAAGTTGGTAAGCAAGTGATGGAAGTGTTAAGCAATAAAATATATTACAAAATAGTTTAAGTGAAATGTTAAAATCTTTCGGAAAAATTTTAATTTATATGTTGGAATTTTAATTTAAAATTTTTTTCTTCAAATTTTCAATAAAACTTTTCGTTTAAAATGCAGAAATTAAATTAAAAATGCTTGCGGAATATAAATATATATTAGAGGCTGAAAATTGAACAGGGTRAATTTCAGACCAATTCTATAATATATAAATTTTTCACAGAATCTTAAGCGGTATTTCTCTAGAAAAATAATCCAATATTTCGTTAAAGAATGCTCAAGTACTCTAACAGACCATATCCACTCAGAAATTATTAGGTATCACAGGAGATCATTTTTGTACTCTGAATGTAGGAAAAACACACCTCATTGAAAATATGAAATATAAATTAGATGCTCTCTAATCCACCATTAAAGTAATCATAGCTTAGAAAGGATGAGATTGTCGTTGACTAGGATGCGGGAACTTGCAGAGCAGAGCAAATTTTCCGGTCTTTGTTAGAGATTAGTTTTTGGATCTATGGGAGTTTTGGGGGTCAAACAGAGGGGGAAGGGTTAATAAATATACTCATAGAGTACGCTGCTCAAAGTGCGGAAAATAATTTAATTTAAATTMAGAAAATTTACGAAGTAGCACCGATATTAAGCATATGTTGGAATGAAATTTTTTATCGGAATAATCTGAAGTTTCAATTCAAGCCTGAAAAAATCCGWAATCATGGTGATAACTTCCTCTGCCCATGAGCACATCAAATAGTTACTTTCCGCGAACCAAGCTTTGAAACTCTGTCGTTGAATTAAATTTTCTGGTGAAAACTGGAATTGGTGGCCATCTCGTTTTGGCCCATTCATTGAACGTGCGATGATCGTTCGGTTTTACTTCTTAAACGAGTTGGGTTTCATGGATTCGCAAATCAGGAATATCGTCAAGAAAGGAATTCTGGATATGCCATTTGTACAGATCTTAGCAAGAAGAAGACAAAATTCTGCTTATAAACTCTGTGATACAAATTCATTTATCTTCACCATTTAAAATGTATATAAAGTGTCCAATAAATGTCTCGGTTTGCTTGTGAATAAATTTTATATTTGGGGTGAAATCGTGTTCTTCTTATTTTGTCCATATTCTTAAAATTATGGTGTTCTCAATAAAATACTTTTCATTCATAAATATTCCTATTTTGCGGACACCATTGTTTTCAAACTACCACTACGACTACTAACTGGTAAAACAATTAAACTTTGTCAGTAAAACACTCCATATGTGCATTTTATAGCATAAAAATATTTATTCTGCTTTTAGCCGATTAATATAAATKGTACCTGTAGCGATGCCTTGAACTACAACCCTCTCCAACTTTCGTGAAGATATCTTTCTGTAAAAAACTTGAGTTTGATTGGTCATTATGTATACTATAGTTGTCCAATATCGACAATTCCAACAAATGACCAGCTTYTTRGCAAGAAGAGGACGTGTKCAAAATTTCAGATCGAAATCACAAAAGCTTCGGCAGTAGTCCGCGTATTTAGAGACGGACAGACAGACGGAGATGRCTAAATCAGTTTAGCTCATCAAGTTGATAATCTATATTTATGAATATACTTTATAGGGACTTTAATGTTTCCCGCTGGGAAACAAACTTACAAAMTGCGTGGCAATTTTAATGTAGCCTATGCGGGATTTAATGTGGTTGCGCTCTCTTAAAAATTGGCGACTAATGGTGGATATAAATTGAAGTAAGAAAAAAAAAAAAACAGATTTTCTTCTGTATGTTGCAATAATTTCACGCAAATTATTGTCATTTCGATGAAGGAGGAGTGATTGAAGATACGCATTAACGAATCGATTTRAGGTCACAGTTCAAAAAGTTTTTATTCGGTATTTTTAACGCATCGATTAGGTGGTTGTAACAAAAATTTACCTCACATGAAAATTGTAGATCATAGAATTATCCATACAATTTTTGTCAATAATTATTCTCTACGATCCACCGTTTCTGAGATATATTGTAATAGGATATGGATCGTTATAATATACACATATTTCCACATCATCTATGGGTTTGCGTACCTCGGCGCGTTTTTTACAACAATTTCCATTTTGACCTAATTAATTCTAATATCAGAAAATATTTAATAATGAAATAATAATACCAGAACATTAATGACGCGAAAGCGTATATGTATATATCTTTTAACACAGGTGGCAACGCGGAAATAATAACATGTCACATCAAATGCATGTATGAAAATATGCGTGGAATGCGTTTTATGGAATCTAGTGTGTACAATATTCTCGACTATACACAATATATTGCGTTTCAAGATTTCTGCGAGCTCCACTATTACAAAAATACACTTTATATAATATGCATGTATGTATATCTCCTTTGAACTCACAATAACTGCTTTGGAAACCAGTTCAGGGGTTGAACCAGAAATTTCCATTGAGTCATATAATGTCTTTTTAGTTAGAGATTGGGCACTATGTAGGCGGACAAGTGAACTTTTAATACTCACAAAAGTACGYATTAATGTATATAAATAACATATGTATGTGGGCATGGCTGGCATAAGATATGCGTGTTCGCTGCGCGTTTAGCGAGACTGCTYTGAACAGAAGACGGCCTTGATAAAACGAAAACGCCTGTTGCACGCTAGTTAAGCCCCTTCAACTGCATACCGACATTCTTAAGTGCTTGTTACAATTAACTGGTGCAAAGTTGGCAATAATGAATAGTGATGCATGTGCATATTTGTGAGTGAATGCMTCAATGTGTTCACTTGTGAGAGTGTGTTCTACAAATAAGCACTAAATTAGTGATCATTGCTGGCTTCTGTGGTATTGCATTAATGAGTAAAATGTAGTAATATAATTAAATCGGTAACGGCGTTTTGTTGTAATGGAGTTATTGTGTCGAATAATGGTCTGAGCTTCGCTACTCTGCTACAACGTTCAAATTGAAATTTGTTGCAGTTGACTTAGTTGAATACGACATACTCGGACTTTATAAAATAATGTTTATAAAGGAGTAGGCATTTCTATGTGACTCACCGATATACGCACGACCAGACTTACTTTCGTGAGATTATTAGAACAAAACATTTTTATTTAGTAGAAATTTGAGAAGAGTGAGAATGTTAGACTATAATTCAGGCATGAATGCCAAATGGAAATGAAAATTGAAGGCATTTTATGATTTATGATTTTACTCTCTTTGCTCATTCCCTACTAAATGTTCATGAAATTAGTTAGAGATCTTGATTTGCTTAACAACTCATTGGTGGGCTTTCGCTGATCCACGAAAAAGTCTTTTCGATTGGCCTTTGGAGTTTCTTCAGGGGTTAGATGGGTTTCCTCGAATAAAAAACAGCCGTCTTTCAACAAGTTTTTTCTCATATAAAAAGTGAAATATTTTAGTAGAATTCTTTATTGCTTTACTAGTGGATCCGTGCAAAATATTCAATACAGTGGAGTTTTATTTACGAATAAAGGCGAAAACGTGTTTGTCGGTATAAGATTCCAAGAGATTGTACTTGAGATTTAATTTTGAATATATTATTTCAATGGATAAAATAACGAATTTAAGACTACTTTCTCAATGTCTGGTTACCAGCCTTTCTGTCCAGTTAATAGAGTTGCTGGCTTATAGATTGTACTTAATAAACATCAACTAATTGTGAGACCAGGCAATGTTTATGGTTAATGAAGATGTCCGCTTAATAGAGTGCCCATTATTAGCTTTCACTGTATTTTTTATTTAGGAACTTTTATTTCTATCTTATCTTCTAAGTTGGCCCGAACACAGTGTGGTAAATTTTCTTAAAATCGGTTCCGTAGTTTGGTAGTCCATCGCCGATAAACAACGTGACACATAATTTTTATATATTTTTATAAACTCCAAAATTTATACTTTTTTTTTAGAAATTTTTAGAAAAAATAGTTTAAACTCGGCCATGGTGACGCCATTTCCGGTTAACCCTCGAAAAAAAAATGCGTTGGCAGGAAACCCCTTACATCATTATCTGAAGTGAAAAAAGATAGTTATGTGTTTTAGTTAAAACCTTAACTTGGACTTGGAAAGATAAAAAAAAAACTGAAAATTAGATTTTTGGCACTTTTGCAAAAAAAAAAAAAAATTAAAATTCGTCCCAGTCTTTAAGAATTTTAACTCAAATTCCGGTATAAAATTTGATGAAGATAGGTTGCGTAGTTCCTGACAAATCTTGCGAACCAACTTCAAAAGCACAGTTTCTCTGAAACTTTTACTGGGATTAGCTTTATGGCAATATTCTAGAGGTTTTGAATTATTTAATAAGATAATAGAAAATAGACTTTTTGAAGCCCATGTTACCCCTTAAGGAGTCTACATATAGGTATTCATTTGAATAGATGATCATTCATAATGGTTCATTCTTAAAATTGTCATGGTTTTCGCGGCTTTAGAACTCACACACATCTTCTATAGGACCATTTGTTATACCAAAGTGTTCTTATCGATCATTTGAACTGACAGCTATTCCCGAAGAAACAACTATATATTTCATTATATCTAATTTTTGACATGGTCTTAATACAAACCCTGCGTAAGCCTCTCCTTAGATCTGGCTATATACTTTAAAGGGTTTAATCACAAACAACGAAATTACTGTGACTCTGGTGGAAATTTTCAACTTTAAATTAAGAGAGAGAGAGCTAATTACAGTTAGTATATACTATATGTCATCGGTGGGAGAAATTATTTAGTCCTGCCATCAGTTAACTTACAAATTCAGGGTTTAATAAAAAATAAACTATAATAAATTTGTTAATTATAATAATATAATATAATAAGTAATATAATGAAAATTCTATTAAATAATCGCTCTTTTAAGCGAGCATCTCCATTAACCGGACAAAAAGACTGATCTAGCCCAAAAGGCCGCTTTCGCACTGTGTTATATGTATGAGCGATATACAAAGTTTTGATTACCTGTTGGTGTCACACAAGCCCTCAAATAATGACGCAGTGTTTCTATTTTTTTGACGTTGCTGCTCGAACTTAAGTCTTGAGGCTCTCCGAATTTCTGTATCTTATTCTACAGTTCCTTTTTCCCAATCCTGACTTTTAGCTTGTAAAATGAGAAATTTTTTCCAATTTCAGGTAAAGTCAAAATATAAACTTCAGAATTAATGGCTTAAAACTATGATTGCTGCTAAGAACTTTTTGTTTTGYGTGCTCGGAGAGAGATCGGTGACCGCATGCCGTAGCTTCTAGTTGCACTTGTCGAGCCTAACTTGCTTAAATTTGTTTTTAGAATTTGAATAGCTAACCGAAGGTAGGCTTTCATGTGGAGATCATCTCGAATAAGTTTTATCATATATCTTGTCGATGTAACCATTTCTCTTGACATTAGTTTCTGCTTTCCATGGAGATTTCTACGAATGCGAAGCGAAAGATTTGTTCATACATTCTTATGTAGAGCAAATATCGCAATACTCTAGCTTTCTTATTCTTCCTTATTGGAGTAGACACCGCTTACGGGGTTATTGCCAAGTTTGCGCCAGTTGTTCTTCTTTCTGCCTTTTCTGCTTTGCGCTAATCGGAGATTCCAAGTGTAGCCAAGTCCTTTACGCCTGGTCTTTCCAACGGAGTGACGGTCTTCCTGTTCCTCTTTTTCGCCCTGCAGGTACTGCGTGAAATACTCTCAGACATAATCATGCACAAATAAGTTGAGAATGATTGTCTGTTACAAGATTGCTTTCGATATGTAAAACAAGGAGATCTTACCCTAAAAAATAATAAAATCATATTTACCWTATTTGAGACCATGCCGCCAGTACAACTTTTTAATAATACATTACTCAAGTACTCTGAGTAGATTTGCAAAACGCCACTGTTATTACGTCTCAGCTAATAAAGTGGTTTCATTTCAAGGACAGCCACATTACCCAGCAGGTGTGTGACTAGTTTGATTGAAAGTAAGCAAAATTAATATTGATATTCTCCGACCAATCCGTTTGTTGCTCTTTGTTAATGAAATATTTTTCCATCGCAATTATTTGTGAATTTTACTAACTATTAACCATTCTTTTGCAGCTCATATTCAGTTGTCTCATTTTGGGCACACAAATCCAACAATCATACCAACAGCAAGACTACACGACACCAGTGCCGATATTGAAACAGATCGATCGCCACAACGACGATGGTTCATATACATATGGCTACGAAGCAGCGGATAGGAGTTTTAAAATCGAAACGAAGTACCCGAGCGGCGAGGTATTTGGCAAATATGGCTACTTAGATGATCAGGGCAAGTTGCGTGAGATCGAGTATGGCGCTAGTAAGCGTGGTTTCGAACCTGCTGGTGCGTATTCCATTACACTTTATTAAAAAAATAGTCATTTGTTATAACCTCTGCATTTTTAAAAATTATATCAGGCAGCGACATTAATGTGCCACCGCCCACGCTTACCAACAACAATCCCTATCCGTTAGGTCCGAACGAAATCGACGATGGTCAGTACCGTGAAGATCCCGCTGTCTACTATAAGGATCAAAAGTTCAACCGTCCTGCGGTGGCACCAAGCAGATTCAGTTTGGATAATTTGCATCAGCCACAAAGACCGCAGTACAATCCACCTCCACCTCCGCCACAATACTACAATCCGCCACCACCACCGCAGCCACGCTATCAACAATTAGGATTCCAACATCAACCACCGCAATTCCGACAACCACCACCTCCACCACCGCCTCCACAACCACGTTATCAGCCACAATATCAGCCACAGTATCAACAGCGCTCATATCAGCCGCAACCGCAGTCGCAGTACCCATATGGCAGTTTGCCGCAACATCACCATCCGGCGCTAAAGAATCTTGATATCTGGAGCGGTTCATATAGCATTGATTACACGGGYAGACGCAAGTAGAAGGTTGGCATGCGTACTAAAATGTGGGTGGTTTGCCCTTGCCGAAAAGTCATGGTAAAGCTGGTGRTTTTTTTTGTGTATGCCGTGTCGTGTGAAGTGGAACGAGCTGTGGCGTGAGCGTTGAGATCGTCATCATTAAGACTTGTGCTGATTTCGTGGAACAACTCAATCAGTTACTAAGAATTTTTACATGTAAATATTATATGATTGTAGTACTTTAATAACGCCTATTAGTTAGTGAAGGCGAACGAGTCGAAATATACGTATGTATATATATTTATCTATCTTTTTATACTTTATATTATAATAATTGATTTAAGTATAAAACATAACCATAGTGAGGAGCGTTGGAAATTTGAAAATAAATATACAAATTTCCAAATCAATTGTTTTTGTGAATTTCTTCTTTGGAAATGGTTTTCTAATTAAATAAATCCATTGACATGCGTTTTTCAGAACTATTATTATATTTCGATTTTCACCTATCGAAGTTTACGAAATTTAGCAAATATTGTGTTGTGTTTTGGATCACATATCCTCTGTGCCAATTTGGTTTGTAATTTTTTGGTTTACTGATGGTTATATATCGTCACTTGAAATGCAAAATAATGGCACAACATTTTCGGAAATTTACAGTAGCATGAATGAAAGACAAAATAATATCCGGTTGGCAAGAGTTATTCTGCGTTGAGTTTCGAGGCTGACGTTGTTGCTGGTTTCAGGATAGACCAAATTATCTACCACTTCGAGTTATGACTGTCAACAGAGACAAGTCACCCATTTGATTTGCTTCTTTGTCCAGCTTGGAAAAAGCAGAACCAGCGATGCCAATGATATCAATGTCATCGACGAACCTTATAAGTTGTATTTTCTTGTAGAAGATCGTACCTTCTTCTGAAGTCATACCGATAAGCTCCAATCAGTTTGTTGATGGTGAGTTTTAATATTTCACACAATGCGCTCGACAGAATATTATACGCGATGTTGAGGAGGCTTATCCCACGGTAKTTGGCGTAGATTGTGGGGTCTCTCTTTTTGTGGATTGGGCAAAGCACACTTAAATTCCAATCGTCGGGCAAGCGTTCTCCTTATCAGTTGCGGCTACACACCTTTAAAAACAACAGAAGAAGGGAGAAAAAGTTTGTCACAAGCACAAAATGAGATGAGTAAACTGTAAGGTCTGAAATTTTGTGGTAGAATGGTCAGCATTTGCAAGAAGAAGAGTAAATATGACATTCGTGTAAACGGCATACCGTTTTGATTAACTCAAATGCACACTTGAACTTCTTGACGTATCGTCTATGTCAATAGTTCGATTCCAACCAACAAACACATCGAAGTCAATTATTGTCGAAATTTCTATATAACATACTCAGCTCTATATCTACAGTTTTGCAAACTGAAGTAGTGATTGAGCCCATTGTGATTCCAAGCTCTAACCAATTGAGTTCAGCAATAAGGTGGATTTGAAAAGTACCTGATTCTTTTACACCTTGCTCATCAATTCCATGGAAGATATCCCTTCTAAGCCGAATGAAACCTGGCAGACAAAGAGGTAATGCTTATCGGATCGTTATTGTTCGCGTATGTTGCTTCCTGAGGATCCTATTTTACTAAATTTCCGAAGAGTTCCAGAGGTTCCAAAAGATCTTATTCTAGATCTAGATGCCTTATGATGACTCTTGTTTTTTGCTCTGTCTACTAGAATAAAGTACTTTATGGTATGCCTAGTAGTCCATTGCTTCAAGCAATTTTGGAAGAAGCTGAGTGCCTTAGGGTAGCTTAAGGGAACTGAATTCCCATTTACACTCGAGCTAACTATCCCGTTCGTCTTTTTAGATACTCAGAACCCAGATGATATTCATGAAATTTTTCATTGATAGTCAAATTATTGTCGCCATAGTCTTATGTAGTAAGATTTCGTGTTGACTCTGCGGATAGCCGTTAGGTGGACACTACCATACTGAGAACTATAAATATTTACACTAATTCCTCAAAATTGACGAATTGCGGTTGATATTTATAGAAAGAATTGCGTAACCCGTATGCAGAGTTCAAAAATAAATAATTTTATCAAAAACAAAAGCTTAACTTTATATAAAACACCAATCTGCTCTTATGCAACAATCCACTTTCAAAAGTGCAATCCATGATGAATCCAATTCAATGAATAGTGGGTGTGCTGTATAAAAATATGCGAAAAAGGGTTGCACACAAAACACACTGTCGATTTGTGGATTAGATAGTTGAATCAAAAACACACACATGCATATGTACATCTGCAAATCAACACTGTATTGTTAGAGCACATTTGGTGTTTACACGCAATTTGACTTGGGTAATGCTATTTACTAGAAAACTGAGCGATTTTTTTGTGAAAAATTGATCGTAGAGGCACGCAAGAGAGGGGTAAGCATGAGTTAGCCAAATCGATTGACCAAATGAATAAATAAGCAACCAAGCACCAGAGGACCAACAAACAGAGCAACTGAACAACTRCACCACCGACCAGCCAACACCCAAATAAATAAGACCTATGTACATACATATATATGTAGACATGAATGTGCATTCAATATTCTGACTATTTTCTCTGTTGCATTTGCAAGGTATTTGGCGCAGCACGTACGACAAGGTGATTTGCTGATTGTGTTTTGAAAGGTGGTTTTCGCGGCGCACTCCCGCGTTACATAAGTGAGCAATTTGGTCAGAAAAAGAAAGAATTAAACTGCCAACCGGAGCAATATTTGCATTGTCACCTATATAGTATGTATGTACGGACGCCTAGCTGCTGTCCGTAAACCTGCAAGTTYGGCCGTCTGTATGTCAGCCACCGATCCAGTTCAACGGCTTGTTGTTATTTATGGGGCGATTCGAGTGTCTTTTTAATACAATTTGCCATAGTTAACTATAATCGAATTGCATAAAGTATTAAAAAATTAAGAAACTACGTGTGAATGTATGTGCACATATTTGCAATTACCCATTGGTGAATCGAGAAGTTAAGAACTGGTGCAGAATTAGCTCTTTAGGAGTCAGTATTGGTTCCTGATATCAATACCTGTCAGACAGCTACAGATATTTTACTRTACGTGAGTATGACTTAAGGAGTGAATATCTTACGAAGATGCATTATAACACTACCAAGACAAAAATCACCTGGCTCTGAACCACTCATGAAGTTTATCAGTCCAAAATGTTTTAAATAGGCAACCTCTGACAACAACATCTGACGACAAGAAACCCTCGACTAATAGTTAAATTATTATTCTCAGAAAGTTTTTTTTTTTTTGAAAAAATTCCAAATTTCAAATTATTATGTTTAATCRTCTAATTGAGATAATCAAACTTAGTTTTTAAAGTTTCAAAAGTAAACTTTCTGAATATGTGATGGTTATTTTTGAGAAACGAAAATTAATTGATAAAATTTTAGTTTGAATGAAAAAGGAAAAACTCCTAAGTTAATAGGAAACTAAAACAAGAAAAAATCTTAACTTCGGCTGCAACGAAGCTAATGTGGCCTTCACARGTCCATTTATTTTAGTAATTATGCGTTCGGTTTGTATGGAAGCTATATGCTATAGTAATCCGATCTGAAAATTTTTTTCGGATATTACATTGTTGATTTAGAAAATAATCTCTACCAAATTTGGTGAATATATCTTGTCAAATGTGAAAGTTTTCCATACAAGAACTTGACTCCGATCGTTCAGTCTATATGGCAGTTATTTCTTCGAAGATTACATTGTTGTCTTTGCAAAATTTCAAAACGATATCTTAAAAACTGAGGGACTAGTTCGTATATATACAGGCAGACGGACAGACATTTATATATACACTTTATAGAGTATCGGACGCTTCCTYTTGGGTGTAACAAACTTCGTGACAAACTTAATATACCCTGTTCAGGGTGTAAAAAAGTGACCTCTTAAAGTTAAGCTACAGCGAGTGGCTTGAGGGTKGATTTCGTTTTTGTCAATCACTAACGTTTCAGGGGGTATGGGTGGGAAAGAAATTCAAAAATTTTTTTTCGAAGCACCCTAATCAAGCCATGTTTCTTCGACTGTCACTGTTATGGCTATTAGAAACCCGCAATGGGATCACATTAAAACTCGTTAAACGAATTTTTACGGCCGCAATCGAAGAAGCATAATTAAGATATATGTACTTCGCATCAAAAACCTAAACTGAAATATATTCCTTTATTTGTYTTTCTTAAATTTGTGGAAATTCAATTTCACACGCGGGTAAAGTAAAAAATAGTAGGTGGATTCGGCTCAAATTGATAGAACCCGTCTTCAAAGAACTACGTGATAACGAATTTCTGTAGCGATAGTGGCCGATCGGACGTTAAGGCTGAATATTTTATAGACATGCCTACTAGTCTGGAAGTACTCAAAAGGTATGCAATTAGTTTCGATTGAAGAACACTATAATAATAAAGAAAAACTGCGTGCGTTTGACTCAGACAGTCATTACTAGTAATGGACTTTCGTGCACCAGAATCGAAACACTTTTGAGCTAGTGTGTTTTTCTTTGGTGCATACTTCAGCATATCTTTCTTGGGGCAGCAAAGTAACTAAACAACGCAGATACTTGCAAATACATATATGTCCATATGTATGTATGTGCAGCCCCTAGATGTACTGACGTAATTATAATCTATCTAAAACAAAATTGTTTCTAATTTGGTTCACTGARTTTTGGTATTGCAACTTGAAAGCTTCGAGCGGAACGATAGCGTAATGCAATTTTTTCAATAAACCAATTTGATATTTGTGTACTAATACCGTAAAGTACCGCATACTAATGAATTGAAATTATGGTATTTAGTAAGAAATGTGCTTACTTTAGTTAATAATTTATTTTTGTATTATTGGAAGGTCGTTTTTACAGACATCCCGTTGCGGTATGTGAAGGTGGAGCATTCCATTGATTTACCATTTATTATTTTACCAATGCCACAGCATATGTTTTGTTTAAAGCATTTTCTAAATACAATAAGACTTTAATCAATTCYTGACCTGAGACATATATTGTAGTTATGTATGTGTAAAGAAATGTTTGTAATAATTTAAGCTACTTGAAATAGTCGACTGTGCTGAGTCATGCCTTAGTTAATTATTCAGTAGATTCGGCTGCCTTCGATCTCTGCGATCTTCATTGTTTGGCATACTGCCCATGATCTGGTAGTTTGTAAAAATCTGGTACAAGTCCTTTAATATTAAGTTTAATAGCAAATTAATTAATTTTTAATACATATTTCTATATAGTATATAT